CGAGTGCGGGCGGGCGCAGCCCCGCTCAGCCCGGGGCTGCCGGCGCCGATCGCGCCATTGTTGGGGGAGGGGGCGGGCGCGGAGTCCGGGGCGAGCGGAGGCGCAGGCGTCGGCCGAGCGGAGCGGACGCGCCCCATGGGGAACACGCTGACCTGTTGCGTGTCCCCCAATGCCAGCCCCAAGCTGGGCCGGCGCGCGGGGCCGGCAGAGCCCGACTACGAGTCCGAGGTCTACGAGGCGGCGGCCGGGGACGCGGTGGCGGTAGCGCCGGCGCCTGCTGCGGCCGTGGAGCCCGCCGAGTTGGATTTCGGAGCCGGCGAGGGCCACCACCTGCAGCACATCAGCGACCGAGAGATGCCCGAAGGTGAGGAGGCAGCGGGCGCGTCCGGGCCGTGGCGCACCTCTGGCCTCCATCGACTCCCAGGGTCCCGCTGGGAGGCGGCCGCCGCCTCGGGTTCCTTCCTGCCGGAGTATCCTGGAGCAGGCCTGGGCACCGGGAATAAAGGCTGTGGCTCGCGTTCCCACCCCTTATTCTTTCTCGGCCACGTCTGGCCAGTTTCTCTCCCAACCCTACGCCCAGTTCTTCACTCTTCCCATTCTCTCATTCTGACCTGGGACCCTGCAGCCGGCACCGCTTCTTTGTACTGCCGTGTACGGTCCAGTGGAACTTGATCAAGACTTCAGGAGACTATATAATTGCCACTTTTCTTAATAAAACTCCCAGGCACCCCTAACCTCAGAATAGCCATCCCATCCCCCTATCCTTACTTAGCCAGATAGTACCTAAGGTAAGACCCTAGTGGTTCCTCTTGCTCCGAACCAGTTGAGTAACTGATACTAGAGCAATCTAGATTCAGTATGTTTAAGGATTTATCTATGTTCAAGTAGAAGTTGCCATAAAAATGTGTATGGTATTAAATAGGATTTTAAAAGTAGCCTCAATAAAGGTTGCTTTATTCCTTTCCATTATAATTGGAATACAGAAAGAGTTGAAATTGGGAAAGAGGGGGCTTCTGTGAAAGATGTCAATGTCAGTTTCTTTCCAGGCTGTGAAAAAGTACCGTTTCCCCTCCCTCACAAGGAGTAGTTCTGCTTGCTTCAAAATTCTCATTTGATAAATACATCGCCACTTAACAAACTTCATTTACTTTACCTCTTCCAAAGGAAGCAGAGTGGGGAGAGATTGTTGGTCAGGCGTTTAAATTTAGCTTTAAATTAGTAATGTAAAGAAGTAATGTTAAGAAGATAACCCCTGCGGGTGCCTGTAGTATTCGTTTCCATGGCTCCATTTCCCTCTCCACCTTCTGCCTGGAGATTGTTACTCAGTGCTGAGAATGTTGAAGTTCGGCAAACTGAACCACTGCAGGGTGGGCTGGCTGGGTGGGTAGGAGGGAGAAGAGGACTGCTTGGTGCTTTATAATTAAAATTTTGAAAATCTGTGAATCTGGTTAAAAGTAATTCTGGATAGCAGTGTGGTTATTGGAATGAAGGCTACAGATTTATAAGACAAAGTATCATGAAGTGTTTAAGCCAGATTTGCTTGTTGGTGTCACTTCAATGCTCCAAATGAGTTCCTTTCTGTGGAGGAATGTCGTCTGTTTCTTTAAACTTTAGACTGTTGGTGTCTTCATGTTAGAATAACTTAAGGCCCATGATGGATACACCTTTGTAACTTTTTGTAATATTCAAATATTGTAAAAGAATGTAAAAGTAATTGTATCTTTAAACAGTGGTGTGTGTGTGTGTGTGTGTGTAAACTGCTGTTTCAATGTTGTAAGCCTCTGGATTTACAAACCAATTAGTATATGGGTAGTGTTGAGTGAGAGTCCTAATAGGACCTTTTTATAATTCTTGAGGGATTACAGCCATTATCATGTATGCCTGTTTGTTCCTCCCAGATACAAAGGAAGTCTGTATTCATTCTCACTGTATTGTTGATGGGGATGCAAAGTTAAGATCTGACTGAAGCTGCTTCTGCATAGAACTGTTCTAAAAGACTAATGTGGAGGTGGTAGATGTGCTGAGTTGGATTCTTAAGGGGGAAAAAATCTTGTCAAAGTGTCTATTCTATTTTGATCTGTACAGTCAAGCTTGTGGTACTTGGTCCTTCCCTTAGTTTCCTTTCAGTTAGCTGATGCAAAGACAACCCTTTCCTTAGGTCTCATATCTCATATGTTCTCTCAGTGAAAGAGGAAAAGGGCAGCTAAGAGTGTGACCTAAATTTACTGATCATGTAAGTGAGTCTATTCTGTTAACCACGAGTTGAAGCTGACAATGTTCTGAAAGAACATTAAGAAAGGCTGGCAAGAGGTGTATCAGCATAGAATTATATGATAGGAAATGCTTAGAAATTTTTGACAAAATAAGTGTGTGAGCATAGAATTTTACTTTATTAATGTGCCTATTAAAATTTCAGTTCAGTATTTTCTCTAAATTTCATTTTTAGATCTGGAGGACTAGTGCAAATACAAACTCATGGGCTTGGTCCTTAGTGCTGCCAAAACTCTGTAAAATTAAATTCTTTGGCATTCACTAAAGTGATAAGAAATGTCAGCATTTGACTAGATGAGAACACCAAATGTATATAAACACATTAAACGTTTGCATTTAATGTCTTTAGTTTAGAAAAAAGTTTTACAAGTTTCCTTTGAAACTGAGAAAAACTTATTTAGATTTAAAGGTAGGTTTTTATTATAATGAGGAATTGTTTTGATTTTTTTAGATAAAATCATAAACGATGTTCTGTTTTATTTTCTTTTGAAACATTTAGAGCATTCAGAGTCACTTTCAGGACTTTCCAATTAGTATTCCCTAATCCTTGGCCTAGCACTGTTTCTGATATAACTGATGGTCAGTAACTTCAGTAACCAGAACAGGATACTAAGGCTTCTTACTTCCCAGCCTTTCACGTAGCTTTCAATGTTCTGTTTCTGTCTGGGAAAATGTGCTCTCTCAAGCGACCTTTTCTCCTTATCCCTTGGAAGGGTGATAGTAGGGAAAGAATTAGAAATATGATGTGGGAAATTCACTGAGAAAACATCTTTCCCCTTTCCACTAGCTTTTAACCATTTTTTTTTTAAAAAAGACATGTTGGTAAGAAACAGAAAACACAGATACAGTATTTGTTCACAGTCATCAAAGCTAACATTTATTAATATTTCGGTGCTGCTGCTTCCTGAGCCTTTCGTATGCCTGTAAATATGACATTTCATTTTATAAACATGAGATCCGTCTGCATGTGCTGCTTTGCTTTCCTAGAACAGTGCTTTTCTCCAGAGTGCACTATCTTGTGCCAGTGTATACTGCCCTATGGCATGCTTTTTCTTAATTGCTGAGTGTACCATTGAGTAGCTGGGGTATTTGATTCACCTGTCCTTTATAGTTAGACACCTTTCATAGTAAAAGTATATATATACTCTCCTAGACAAAACATTTGATGACAGGTGCATTCTGCCTCTGTTCTATTTCAGACGATATTTAGTGTATCAATTTTGGTCCTTATAATATGTCATTGGCATTAAAAGCATTTAGCTCTGATGCCAGCTTGATTGTAATGTTGGCATTTAACTAAGCATTAAAATTCCTGATTTAGATTTTGTGGTTCTTAGTAGACTATCTCAAGTCTTTAATTCTAAATAGCTACTATTCTAAGAGGTGTATCAGTAATACTGATCTAAGATGAAAAAAATCAAGAAACAGCATTAGATGAAGTCTAGAAATATCAGAAAGCTGAAAGATACTTAACTGGCTTGAGTATCCACCTTTGAATGGCCAAGCAGTATTGTATTCCAGAAAGAGACAGTGATAAAAAAGGAAGTTCCTTCTTACCCCCCCCCTTCTGTTCAAGAGAGAGTTGGGAATAGACTATCTATGAATCGTCAAGAATGTATTGCACTAGTAGGAAGAAAGTCAAGTAGGATAATGATTGGGAAGGGGGGACAGTTCACATATCACTTAAGGACAGTAATCACCTCTACTGCCTTGTAGACAGCTTTCTTTAGAGCTTTTCATATTGGAATGAACTTGTGTCTGTAAATGACAGAAAAGAAGAGACACAGAATGCTACAGTAGAGAGTACACCTGGAGAAATGATGGATTAGGCCTTTATATGCTGAGTCAGCCGTAACAACAATGTAGACTTTGGTTGTAAAGAGAAACCGCTAGAGGATTAGACACAGGGGAACAAGTTCCTTATGAAGAAGACCAGATTAGTGACTTTGTGAAAATGCACTACGATGCAAGGGGACCAGGTGGGAGACAGTGATTTAGGGAAAGCCGTGGTGACTGGAACAAAACAGCAGTATTGCCTGGGGTCTAAAACAGCTTAACTTAAGTAAATTAAGTAAAATTTAAAAGTAACAAAGATGGATGGACATGTGAATGAAGTGACAGAGGAATGCAGGGGATCTATAAACGTCACACCTGAGAAGCATGAATGAAAACTGTTTCACTTTATTTGGTAGGGCCGGAGAGAAATCCAAAAATTTGACAGGACTTCAGTGTAGTTGCAAGGGAGGTTATAGTCATATATTGCTGGTGGAAATGCAAAATGATTTGACTCCATGGAGGAGAATTTAGAAAGTCTAACAATATTGCTTACTTTATTTAGTCTAGAAACCCAACTTTAAGGAATTTATACCAAGGATGTATGAGACAACATATTTTCAAAGTTTATGCTGTATTCTTTTCCTTAAGATGGTATTGACAGCAACTCATGCAGTAAGGGACAGGTAAAATGAACAGGCATATCCACATGGCTTTGCATTTTATCTGTAAAAGTAAGAATACGCACATAGAACCATAAAATAAATCAGAGCTCTAGGTAGAGCCACCTTCAGGGTGTAATGCATGAAAGGAAGAGTGGTAAGGAGAGGTCATCTGTTTGGGAGACATATTTTCTATGGGGAAATATGTGTTTGCTTATTTTAAAAAACTGTGGCATTCTTGATCTTTTATGAGTGATGATGTTATATGCCCTTTTATCTAGTGTTTAGCCAAAGCACATACATATTTGCCTAAGAATTACTTTGATATATGGATTTACCAAGGAAATGGCACCATTTACTTGTTTGCTTTTGTGAGTGTGGCAACTGTAATGTATTGTGTATGTCCAGTATATTTCATTTTATAGTCTCAGTGTTTTGAGTTAGGCAGTACAGGAATCATAGCTGGTTTACGTATGAGAAGACAGCTACCAAGATAAATTGAGTTTTCTAAGGTTTTAACAAGTAAGATATGGTCGATAGGTATGTAAATTCCAGTTGGAACTCATCAGCATAGAGCTTACAGGATATGGCTCACAGTGGGCTGCTTCGGATGCCACTTTTCTTCTTCTGTTTACTTTCAGGACAGTAAGATACGGTGTTCAGACAGTAACATTGAGGTATGTACAATGAAGTGGAGATAGTAAGTGTGTAACAGAAATGATCTTTAAACTTGGAGTAAAATGCTCTCAAGGAAGAAAGTTTCAATATATGAATAATCACAGCTCTTAAAGCATAGACTGGGAGTTAAAGCAGGGCACTACAGAACTGATGGGGGCCAGGACAGAGGGGATTGGATCATTGGAGGCCTGAAAAACTGGGCAGGAGTGAGCTCTAGATTGACCTTCTACTGAGATAAGCTTGCTTAATGATACAAAATTACTTAATGATACAAAATGTAGACTCAGTGGTAAGTAGATTCATCAGTTGGCAGTGCAGTTATGAACCTTGGAATGTCTGTTCAAAGCCGTAAAACTGGTACTGTATATGTTAAGGGATGAAGGCACTTGTCAGTGAGAATAATCATTTAGACAAGTGCCTGATTTTGATAAGGAAATTTTTGTGATGGGGTATGATTGCATAATTTTAACATTTTTAGCCTTTAGCAATACATTTAGTTCTAAGTTGCATGTTTTTTAGTATTTTTGACATGTGTAATTAAAGTAAGTCATGCAACTTATAGAATCTTGGGTTAGAGGAAAGTTTATTTGCCTACCTTTGCTTTCAAATTAAAGTGCAACTAAAATTGATAATTCAAAAATAATGGATCTTATCATTTTAATGATAATCCTTGTCTTGGGATATCTGTCCTAGTTGAAAACATTCTTAGAGGTTTCTTTATGGAGGATGTGTCTTTGTATACATGTGTGTGCAAGTTCACAAGTGAGGAAAGCATTCATCTTCCTCATTCCTGCTCCACCTATTTAAGATAGTCTAGGCTGAGAAGTGAAGTCAAAGATCTGCTTGTCACTAGGATCACAGATGCGCGGTTGCAACCTGGCAATTTACATGGGTGCTAGGGATCCAAACTCAGGTCCTCATCTTTGTGCATTAAGCACTTTTACCAGCTGAGCTCTTACCAGCTCCTTACAGGTTTCTAGAGAAACCTGGTGATTGGTGTGTTCTCATTTTCCTAAATCTGTAAGTGTGTGTAGAGTGTGCATTTATAGAGCCTAATGCTTTTTGGTTCATAGTTAGTTGCCTTGCCTCTCTCTAAGGGTGAATAGAGTAGTATGATTTATCCATAGCATCTCCATAGGCTCTAGGGAATGGAGTTAATAAGAGTACAGAAATAATACAGTGTGTATGTAATGTATAGGGTCACGGTCTACTGACTTGTTCCCACTCTATGTAAAATAGCAAAATGTAGTATTTACAATAAGTGGAAAGTGTAAATTACATACCAGACTTTGGTAGCTACATATATTTTTTCTCAAAACACTGTGCTAATTGGCATTGTAGCCCTAGTGGATATAATTCCTATAGGCTTTATACAGGTGATCTTAAGTATCTAAAGCTAAGATAGGAATGAAAGCTGACATAAATGGTACTATACCTCAGTGTGCCTTCTTTAGAAAGCTACATAGTGCAGATTGAGCCATGGAAATTACCCATTTATGAAACTATATTTGAAGAATTTTTTGTTGTTGTTTTTTTTTTTCGAGACAGGGTTTTTCTGTATAGCCCTGGCTGTCCTGGAACTCACTCTGTAGACCAGGCTGGCCTCGAACTCAGAAATCCGCCTGCCTCTGCCTCCACCTCCCAAGTGCTGGGTTTAAAGGCATGCGCTACCACTGCCTGGCTGAAGAACTTTCTTTAAGGAGATAAAAAGCATTATTTTAAAACATAGTGTACAAAAAAAAAGTACTGTGTACTCATAAGGACAGAATGTTAAATTCTAAATCCCCAATATTAGATTGGCTAAGCTAAAGTGGGCATAACACTTGCTGTATTGTTATATAATTATTCAACCAAAAAACGTTTGAGTTTAAGGATGATTTTTCTTTATTGTATCACAAGTTGTGAGCTGAAAAGAGATTTTTTGTTGTTGCTGTTTTGAACTGATAAGAGGGTGGTAAGACCAGGTACCTAATGACTGAACTAATCCCAACCCAAGAACTGATTTTTAAGAAATGCATAAGAAACAACTGAAAGTTAATGATTGTGAGTATATCTATTGGTAGTTTTAAAGTGAAGCATTATTTTAGCTTTCTCTGATTTCTTGTTAAGGAAGAGTTTTACCTATCTCATTTTTAATGTGATTCATACTACTGACTGTATATACTGTAAACATAGGTGTTTACAATTACACATCAAAATCTCAGAATCGGTGCAAGAGTTCAAAGAGAGGTAAGCTAGGTATAAGTTCATCTGGGAGTTAAATTACCTCAAAATGCGTTTGATTCTCCTCCTTGCCTCTGTCTTTGCTGGAAAGGTTTTTCTCCAGTGAGCCACTGTATCTTCTAACTAGCTAATGTGCCTCCAGCACATTTGCTTTTCTCCTCTGGCTTTTGAGAAGACTCAAGAGAGTTGTGATTGATTGGCCAGCCTTGGGATGTATACCCACTTCAAAACCCCATCTCTGTGACATGTTGTCACTGGCTTTATCACAGTCTTCTTGGATTTCACCTTTAGAACCGTAGCAGTACATCTTGATTTGGCTTTTTTTCTCCCTAAGATGTATTTTATGTGAATGTATGTGAACCTGAGTGTATGTTTGTCTATATGCACATGCACATATATGAACACTAGAAGGCCAGAAAAGGGTGTCAGATCCCCCAAAGTTGTTGTTACAGGCCATTTTGAGCCACCTAACATGAATGCTAGGAACCAGACTTATGTCTTTTTTTCAAGAGCAAATGCTCTTAGCTATTGAGCTATCTCTCCAGCTCTTTGATTTGACATGTATGTTTTAAACTTCAGTTCTCTTTGATTTTAGTAGTTTTCTTGTACTTGTGAAATTCCTTGGATTTTTTTTCTAGTGCTGCGAATTGAACCCAGGGAAATACTGTATTGATAAATAATATATAGCTTAAGCCCCATCTACCGAAATGTTTAATTTTATTGCGACATGTGAACTGCTACATAATATGGCTCTTTCTATAAACTATTTTAATAGTGTGATCTGAAAATCACATTTTAGTTCAAATGGTGATAATGTTTGCTTTTAGAAGGAAGTAGTCCTCTGTCTCTTTAGAAAAGAGCTTTAGGTTAGACACAGCTTAGATCTCTGCCTGTCACTTTATGCACACAGGTCTTTGTTTTCCCTCATAGCTAACTTTATCTCACGCTTAAAGATGTCAGAAAAAAAATCTTAAAAATAATTTTGTGTGTGTGTCGGGGGTGGGTATCTTCAGAAGAATCAGCTGATTGTATACCTATAACTTTAGCCCTCTTGAGGCTGAGGTAGAAGGATCCAAGAGTTCAAGGCCTGACTGAACTATATAGTAAGGTACTATCACTAAATAAAGAATTTAAAAATAAAACAGGTAATTCAGATTCCTGTTACATTGGGAAGTCCTGAATATGTTCATATGACAGATAGTCTAAGTTTGTTATTTGGAGGAAGAAAAGGAGTTCTGAGTACATGTATTGGTGAAATGCTGTGTTAGACAGTAGTGCTGGCAGAGTAGGGGTTTTTAGATTTGTTTTTATTATTTGTGTGTATGAACAAGTGGAGGATGACAGAAGGAGCGTTGGCCCCCTGGAGCTGGAATGATAGGTGGTTGTGAGCCACCTCATGTGGGTAGTAGGGACCAAACTCAGACCTTCAAAGAACAGTATCTCTAACTGTTGAGCTATCTCTCCAGCCCAGTAGAGTAGTTTTTAATATGTCAAGTGTGCATTCTGTAAAAGCCAAGGATGTAGTAGGTACCCTGTGATTACCACTAAACCCCTTTTTCAAAGAGTAGAATGCTGGCTGGCAGGGTTTGGGAATGTTGCTTTACCATTTCTCCATCTGGATCTTGTTCCAGTTTCTGATGAGATTGGTTAAATGGCTTGAGGTGAGCATTGCTGAGGAGTGTCATAGGTTTGGTTTTGGTTTGGTTTGGTTTGGTTTGGTTTTTCGAGACAGGGTTTCTCTGTATAGCCCTGGCTGTCCTGGAACTCTCTGTAGACCAGGCTGGCCTCGAACTCAGAAATCTGCCTGCCTCTGCCTCCCAAGTGCTGGGATTAAATGCGTGCGCCACCACCGCCCGGCGTGTCATAGGTTTTGAGCTTTCTCATTACAGCTTCTTTTATCCTACATGATGCAGTGTCCATTATGATTAGTTAAGACTGTCTTGTATCCTTGGTTAAACAGAAGATTATCCCATCTTGTTCCCAAGGTGGACTGCAGCAAGAATTGAGTGTGCCCTTGGAAATTGAGGGCAAGAGTTAAGAGTCATATATTCATGGAAGGCTATTGAACCTTTGTGGCCCTAAATCTTCATGGTGAATTACTCCCACACAAACAGTTAACTAAACAAATTCTCTTGTCTCATGAAGTTAGAACTAGCCAAGTGGTTAAAGAATATCAAGGCCAGTTGTCTTTGTTGTAGCATATGTGAGATATATATATCAGTATCTGACCATTTGGAAACATTTTGGTAATATCAGCACATAGATAAGTAGGAGAGAAGGCCATACATATCATTCTACTAAAGTTTTGTAAGATTACTTAGGTATGAGTTTAGAAGTCTAAACCATACCCGTTAGATTCCACGCGAATGGAGAGATTCTCAAGTTTTCCAGTAGAATTTGTATATTGTTGCCTTTATTTTCCTCATGTTCATATTTAAAAAAAAAAAGCTAAAAGTTAGAAGTGTTCGTCACAATTTTCAAAAACACCTACTTTTCTTCTGAAATAATACATATTTTTCTTTCCTTCTTTAGATCTAGCTTTGGAATCAAACCCTTCCGACCACCCGAGGGCAAGCACAATTTTCCTCAGCAAATCTCAAACGGATGGTAAGACTATTTCCCCACTGAGGAAAGACTGAATACTGCTGATATTCAGTATGTTACAGTATCAAAACATTTCATAGGACTTGTACACTGATTTAAGCTTTTCATGCATTTACTGTTGATGTGGGATGATATGCTTTGCTTTAATAGCACTCTTAGGGGAGTGTGTAGGTTTTGTAGAGATACTCCTGCCTTGTTGCCAATGCAGATGTGTGATTAAGAAGTAGTGTTGGTTATAGCTGTCTGTCTCTTTCCTTCTCTTTTCTTCCTTAATCCAACAGTGTGTTTCAAAGATGAATTATAAGATTTAGGGTTCTGTTATATTTTTATGTGAAATACCAAAACAAGTGTTTTATATACATCATTTTGACCTTATTTCACATAGTACTCCCTCCAGGTAAGCCTGTGTCACACCCGAATTTGTGTAACTCGGAACTTTCAGGCTATTTAAAACTTCTTTATCCCATTGCAACAAACCTCAGAGCAAACATGTCCTAATAATTCCTAAAAGGTTTGGTAGTTTGTAGATTTCTGCTTATTTAGGTCGAGGGTGTGAACTGTGGATTGTTTGTTTGTTTGTTTGTTTGTTTGTTTGTACTATTTTCTGTGATGTTTGGTTAGCCCCCTCCTCCGTTTTTTTAAAAGGTAAATAAGTTTTTCTGTTGATAATGACTGTGAATGTTACTGAGGATTCTGCAGCAATACTAGAATAGTACAGTAACACAGCCCAGCTTTAAAGAGATGTGGTGCCACTAGCCTGTATTTTCATACTTGCGTCCATTTTTCAAGTTTTGAGCTATATCCATTCTGGTTACTACTGCTGTATCTCCATGCACAAAGGGTGAAAAAGCAATAAAAGAAAAGCTATCTGTGCCCCTCTGTCATCAGTGGGAAGGAGTGTGTTGAGTACTCCGCCTCGTGTTCACAGAGGCAGTGTGGGGAGCTGGTGTGGCCAAGTCTCTTTTTGGACTGTGCTGTGAATGCCACGCTCGGTTAGGTTAGCACACTCACTTCAAGGGCTCATTAAGGTAGGTCAGTGTTTAGGTGTATTGCATAATGTTTTTATGAACTGAATTTCCCACCTGCCCTAAATTGTTTTGACATTTTCTTTTGTATATGGAAATTCTCTTTTGTGCCTATTATCTGTTAGCTAAAAAAATAAAATCCAGTTTTTAGATTTAGTTTATGGAGTTGATTTTGACAAATTTATTTTGTTAGAAACTACTTTTTAAAGTAGAACTGAATTTTATCTTTGTATGTTGATAATTCATGAGATAAATAATAGCAACTATTTTTATTTCTCTGTGGCATTTGTATCAGAATTGATCAATTAATTTTTTTTTTTATTCTTAGTGCGTGAAAAGAGGAAGAGCAACCATTTAAACCATGTAAGTAGTTGAAAAGTTAAGGAATTAGTAGTTTGATTAAAAGTATGTCTGTAGTGACTTCTAGAGAATGTATTAGGAATGTAGTACTGTTAGCATAGACTGTTTCTATGCATTTTCTAGAATCCTTTTCTCATAATATATTTACTTAGGAAAATCTGATTTAATACCATTTTTAAAACAGAATTCTGACATTTTGATTTACTTATAGTTAGATAACATGGGTATAAATACAGACATGCATGAATTTTTGTCCATTTTTAATCTAATGTTTTTTGAAGATTTATTTTTTATTTATGTGTATGCCTGCAAGAGTTATGTATACAGGTGCCTATAGAGGCCAAAAGAGGGAATCAGATCCCCAGGAACTGGAATTAAAAGTAGCTGTGAGTTGCCTGATGTGGGTGCTGGGAACTGAACCTGGGTTTTCTGCAAAAGCAGGTAAAAGCTCTGAAGTACTGAGCTATTTCTCCAGCCCCTTGGTCTAGTTTTTTAATGGAAGTAACAAGCCATTAATTTCTGTATTATCTCCTGATTTCCCATCATACTAGGTAAAAGTTGTTTCTACTGTGACCATCATTTCTCTCTTCCATTTCCTCAACATGCCATTTCTTCAACATGTGCATTATGTTTTAAAATCATGTCAGTATTCCATTATGACTACTCACATAGTTAGTTTCTGAGTCATGTTACACACCCTTAGTTCTTTGTCTTCCGTGGTTCTGAATCTGAATTCTTCATGCCCTCTGGATGAATACCTTTTCCTGGCCTGTATGAGCTCACACAGCCAAATGTAGTCTGCAGCCCTGGCTGGTCTCCCTGTGTGCACATTCTTGTTTTCAGTGTGTAGGATTAACTTTCTAACCAGCCATCTTTTTTACCCCAAATGTTGTCACATTTGTCACATGTCTGTCAAACAATAGTTTCCATCTACTAAATACATCTGTTCTGGTTTTCTTCTGCCTTCACAGCCTTTGCCGTCCTATTCTGGGTTTGGTTGGGTTTGGCTTAGGCCTGCCCACTTTTTTTTTTCCTAGAATGTCTTTGAAGTTACTGGGGTCTCAAGACTTCGCTCTTGTATTGGTTCCTCAGTGTCCTAGATTCCTGTTCCCTTTGTCTTCTTATATTGTAGTAGAACACCTTTTCTTGGGAAGGGACATGTAAGTATATGTAGTGATCTGGCCTGGAAAATTCCTCCTAGAGATAGAGTTCTATGTTGAAACTAATTTTCACAGTCTTTAGGATACTTTTCTGTTACAGTCTCAAGTACATAGGATATAGTGTTTCTGTTAATTTGTTTTTATTTATTTATTGTGATCCTGGGGATTGAAACCAGCACTTAAAACACCTCAGGCAAGTTCCCCTGGGTCATATCCCCAAGCTGTAGTGCTGTTGTTAAAAATCCGTTACTGTTGTATGATACATAGACATTCTTCTTCTCTGGAGGTTAAGTACTTAATCTCTAGCATTCTGAAAGTTTATGATATAGTTTGATATGGACTTTTAAATTTTATTCAGAGCCAGTAGGTCTACAAACAATTCCTTCCAAGTTTTTTCTTGCATTTCTTTGTTATTTTTTTGTTTTTTCTTGTCTTTTTGTTATTCAGATGTTGTCTCTAGACCAGGATTTCAGTACTACTGTCTATTTCTACCTCGTCTTTACTTTCTAGTTTGTCTTTTTCGTCTTGATGATTCCTTTGCTTTGTGTTTTAACCTGTCTGGAGTTTTTCTAGGTCTTCATTTACTTCTGAACTTTTAGCATTCTCATTCATTCCTTTTCCTGTTGCCTTAATCTCCCTGTCTTGCTGGAGGCTTCCCTCATCTGTAGAGCTACCCTTGACTTCCTGTGGCTGGAAGTACCATAAAATTTTAACTGAAGAGTCACATTATAAGCATTTGGAGGCCAAGCCAACTTGGGGGCCTCAGTATCTTTTTCTGGGATCCTAATCTGTAGGGCAGTTTAGTTTCTTCAGAGAAGACTCTCTCGGTTTTCTGCCTGTAAACTTTGTTTGCTCATACAGATTTGCTTCCTAGCTACTACAAAGTGAACCCGTTGTGAATGTCAGTGCACACTTCTGCCCTTGCTTCTCTGAGACTGGTCTCTTTAAACTGTCAGCTTCAGTAGCTAGAATAAGTATATGTGAGGCAGGGCTGGATAGACTGAGGGCTTTGTCACAGACCTAGTTGGCCTTGGCTCCACTGCATGTTTTACTGCCCAAGGGCTGTGTCTCTGAATTCTAGTCTGCTCATAATCCTGTCCCATCCCTTAGGTATCCATAGGTACCAGCATCCTGTTACCGTGCTCCTCTTTTTGTTGTTTTGAGACAGGCTCTAGTGGGCTAGCCTTTTCTCCTGATCCCCCGTCTCCATCTCTGGAGTGTTGGAATTGTAGGAAGACACCAGCATGCCCAATTTAATTTTCATCTTTTAAAAACATTAAAAATCCTCTGTCAATCCTGTTTCCTGGTCTTGATATAAACTTTTATTCCTTTAATTCAAATGAAATTTCATAAAGAATAGGTTTGTAGTCACTCCATGATGTTTAAATGAATTTAGAATCCACATTTAGAGGCTGGAAAGATGACTCGGTGGTTAAGAGTGCTGCTTCCTGCAAGTTTGATTTCCAGCACCCACATGCTCACAACCATCCACAACTTCAATTCCAAGGGGATCTGAGGCCATCTTCTGATCTCTTCAGGCATCAAGCATACACATGGTACACATGCATGCCTGTACTGACTAAATAAAGATGCATGTCACGTTTTGTTCTGTTTTAATAACCACCTATTAGATAGGGTTTTGCTGGTTTTTGTTTTGTTTTCTTTTTACATTTTGTAGAGTTAGGTTTATTAGTGTAGTTTATGGAGTTACAGGCCAGCAGTGGTAAGGTGCTAACCATAACTGGCAGCTTTTAAGTTTTCAGGCAACATCAAGAGAAAGCTCCCTTTATTAGCTCTCTTACAGGCTTTGCTCAGAGATTGTCTTTTGCCATTGTCTAGTTTCCAGACTGAAAAATTTGATTAGCTGGATGTTAGCTCTGTCCCGTGCTGTGTACAGGTTAGTGGCAAGATTTTGTATGAAGGTTTTTTTTTTTCCTTGAAACTAGAAGTGTGTCCTGAAGAGGGCAGCAGAGCTGAGTAGCAGAAGTAGCTACTTTTCTGGGTTGAATACAGGAATCTGTCTTATTAGGAGCTTACACTCTGAACTAACGGGCAGTTTTTGGTGTTTCTAGCCAGAAAGTTGCTGACTTGCTAAATGAACAGCAGCTAGGGGGCTAGAAGACGATCTAATTAAATGTTTTAATATTTTCAAAGACAAGCCACTGTACATTCATAGTTAGAACCTGAAGTAAGGACAATGGGAGGAAGCAGCAATAGACAACCTATCAGATAGCCCATAGTTTGTTTCTACTTCATCTTTAGTGTTTGGTTTGTCAAAAATGACTTTTGTTACCATGTATATGCTCTGTTACTCCTTAATACAAGTTATACTTTCTTAATTTAGAATCTATAATGTTCCAAAATATGAAATCTGAAACTTTTTGAGTGCCAACCTAATACCACAAGTAGAAAATTCCACATTTGGCCTCATGTAATGAGGTAGCAGTAAACAACAAAAACTGCGTAAAATTACCTTTAACTATTTGTGTGAATAAGAAATCCAAAATGCTTGTCCTTAGATTTGTGTCCCATCCCCAGGAAATCTCACTATATATGGAGAGAGAGAGAGAGAGAGAGAGAGAGAGAGAGAGAGAGAGAGAGAG